TGGAGAGATGATGGTTCAGTGACTAAGAGCACTGGCTGCTCTTTCAGAGTTCAATTCCTGGCAACCCCATGGTGGCTCACACCATCTATAATGGGATCTGGTGCTCTCTTCTCTCTGATGTTCCCTTCAGCAATGCAGGCATACATGCAAACACACAAATACATAAAACACATGAATAAATAAATTTAAGAAAAATAAAGGTGTAACTTTTATAAAATCAGGCCAATAAATTAAAGAACAAGAATTATAGGTAAACATTAAGATGGAATCTGTACATCATGCAGGAGACATATTCAATAATTTAGGTAAATCACTAGAGTTACAGTCTAGAGTTGCTACAATTAAAATGGACACAGTAAATTATGAACTACTCCAAAGATCAAAGATGAAGGAAGTTGGAACAAATTCTAAAGGGCTTGAATGATATATTTAATAAAGATCTCAATGCTGTTATTTTAAATATGTTCAGAGAATTGAAACTGTTTAAAATGATTGAAAGAAAATATAATGAAAATGACTCAATAAATAGGATGCCTAAATAGAGAAATGCAAACTACAAAAAGAGTGAAAATTCTAACACTGAAAAATCACCAAAGTTAAGAACTCATTAGAGCAGGGAATTATGGTAAAGCACAATTGTGATCCTAGAATTTCTAAGCTGAGGCATGAGGATGATAAGTTCAAAACAATCATGGGCTTTAAAGTGAGACCTGTCTCAAAGGTGGGGGAGAAATGGAAAGAGATAGAAGAGAGGGAAAGAGGGGGAAGAGAGGAGATGGGGTAGATGGGAAAAAAGGGAACAAAGAATCATGTAACTGGAAAAATTAATAAAAGCAATCTAATTTGAGAATGGGGTTTAAAAAGAATGGAAACAAATAACAGGGCCAGCAACTCACCAGAAAACATTAATTTCCCAGCATATATGTAACAAAGTAGAAAGAGGGGAGAATGAAGAAATACTAACTGAAATACCTTCCAAATTTGATGAAGAGCTTTACTTTGTAGACCCAAGAAGCTCAACCAACATCAACCTTTAAAGAGAGAAACACCAAAGAATCAGACATAGTGGTGAGCATCTGTGACCCCAGCATACGAAGAACAGGCATTAAGTTCAAGACCAGCTTATCCTACACAAGACCCCATTTCAAAACAAACCCAAAACATACAAAGATCCTCTCACACATATATCATCAGTGGCATGGATAAAAACTACTGTCAACAAGGAAATTTTGAGAAGCACTAGGACTCATTTAGAGGAATTATAACATGATTGATGGTTGATTTTTTTTTTTTTTATCGGAAAGTAAGTAACTCAGTAACACCAAAAGTGCCATGACCTTAGAGACTGATCTACCTGGGGTGATGGGAAATGAAGAAATGACACCCATACAGAAATGCTTTGATCTTGTGGGCCATATGCTCTGATGGAGTTGTACCAAGAGTATCCAGAAGACTCAGCTCATTTATTTTACACATCTGAATGGAGGAGGAGGGTTATTGTACACAGATGAACAAGGAAGTGGGTTTAACTAGATCTCTGTAGGGAAACAATCTGAGTTGTACATGTCTGGGAGGAGGAAGCTGTGAACCACATTTTCTGCAGTCAACATCCACACACAGAGCAGGGGAAGGCCATTCCCATGATTCCAAGGCACTGGGGTCTTTGACAAGGCTTTGCTCATATAAACAATATGCATTCACTGAGGGCTTCCTCCACTTCCCACAAAAGACAATGAAATAATATTTTTTAAAAAGGGGAGGGTGTTAGAGATTTAGTTCAGTGGTAGAGCACTTGGAGTTGTGGGAGCCAGAGGGGTAGAGAATACTGGGAGAGCATGGCCTGTGAAATCAACTGCAGGGCTCATAGGTACTCACAGAAACAGAAGCTGCAATCTTGGAGCTGCATGGGTCTATGCTAGGTCCTCTGCATATATCTTACAGTTGTTGACTTGGTGTTTTTGTGGTACTACCAACAATGGGAGTGGAGGGTGTCTCAGAATGTTTTGCCTACTCTTGGAACCTCTTTCCTCCTACTGGGTTCCCTTGCCCATCCTTGATGTGAGGGTTCATGACTGGTCTTACTGTATCTTGTACAGTGTTTGGTTGATGTTCCTGGGATGCCTGCTCTTTTTTTGGGGAGGAGATGGGGGAGGGGAAAGAAGGGGGAACTGGGAGGAGCAGAGGGAAGCCGTGGGATGTATTGTATGAGGGGAAAAATGTAAAACCCTCTTGCTTTAAGTGATTTTAAAATTTTTGTTGGTCTTCAGCATAAGTTTGGAATCACTACAAGATCAGGTGAAGGTACACAAACAGCACATCAGGGGAGTAAGGAAAACAAACATGGAGCCCCTAGTACCCTGCCTGACTTTACAGGGTAGAAAGAACCCGTATAGGAGCTAGGGACATAGGTGGTAAGGTGCTTGCCATGCAGGCATGAGCACCTGAGTGTGATCCCCAGCAACCATGTAAAAGCCAGCATGGGGCATCTGTCTGTAACCCTAGCACTGGAGAGTGAAACAGGTGGATCCTGGGCGCTTGGGGGCCAACCAACCTAGCCTAAATTGTGAATTCCAGGTTCAAAGACAAACCATGTCTCAAAACAAAACAAAACAAAACCAACCAACAAACAAACAGAAAAGGATACCTTAAACTTCTGAGTATGTAAAGTACCAGTTACCAGTGTGGGGTGATGCCTGAATTTGAGTTCTCATTGCTAATGTGAGCTGGTCAAGGTTACCCCTAAGGAGGTCTGCCTGTTTTTTCAAGATGGCCTAACCCTATTGAAAGAGCAGAAGAAAGAGAGAGGGGGAAGGAAAAAGGGAGGGGGAGAGAAAAAGAAAGAAGAGAGAGCAGAAGCAAACCAACATTGGCCTATGGCCTTTGTGCAGCCATGTAAATACATCATGCACAGAAGAGGAGGAGAGTGAAGAGGAAGATATGTGAGAGAGAATATGAATGAATGAATAAATGAGTGAATGAATGAATGAGAGGAAGCAAGACTGTCTGGTGAAGGTATTCATCTCCCAAAGACAGTCAATGAAGCTTCTTCAAATTCAGGGAACCAAGAGAAAACTTAACATGACAAGAAACATGACAGCACCAAGGAACAGAGTAGCATTTACACAAAAGCCATTCCAAAGAAATGGAGAGCTATCAATTACCAGGACACAATGTCAAATAACTGCTTTAAGGAAGCACAGTAAGCTACAGTAGAACAGACTGATAAAGAAATCAGAAAATCAATTCAAGAACAAACCAAGTCCAGCAACAAGAAACCAGATGGGAAGGGGCCCCATGCCTGAGTCATCAGCTCCCACCCCACCACTACAGTCATACCATGCCTGGCAGTGAAGTCCAGGGCATGAGTCGGGTGTGTGTCATAGCTCCAATCCTGCCTCCCAACCCCCAACACAGAAGACAGGGTTCTTCTGTGTAGCCCTGGCTGTTCTGAAACTCACTCTGTAGACCAGAATGGCCTTGAACTCAGAAATCCACCTGCCTCTGCCTTCCGAGTGCAGGTGTATGTAACCACCACCCAGCAGCTCCAATCTTAAGAACAAAATGACAGCGTTAGTGATGGCTAAACACTCTACTTCATTAAAGGTGAGGAAATGAAGAAGTTCAAGAAGGGTCTGTATGAGACATGGAGAAATTTCCTTTGTCCTGGTTAAAAGACCAGGTAGAGGGATGTCCCTGTCAGCCCCCAACAGTCACAGAGACATGGAAATGTGGAGAGAAAAGGTTAGAGCCGAATTTTACTACGATGTTAAGCTTTACTGCTGGTTCTGAGGATTTTAAGCAGTCAAGAATTGTTTGTTCATTATGTATCATGAACATGAATAGTGAGTCTGCATGCTGTGTCAAAAATCTTTGTCCCAACCTCCATGTTCTTTCCAAGTTCCTAGGAAAAAATACTTTCATCAGAATAAATCTTAGCTGACATTCATAATTTTGGTAAGTGGAATAAGAGTACCTTGTGTCTGGGTTTTAATACCACACCTCCCCAAGTGTGCGAGCATGGCATTGTGCTTGCACATGCACATCTCTAGACTAACCATCAGCTCGTGTATGCCGTAAATGATGTCTTTTGTTGGTTGTCCTTACTAATTTGTAAAGAGGCTGGAGAGATGCCTCAACAGTTAAGAGTACTGGTTGCTCTTTCAGGGGATCTGGTTTTGATTTCCAACACCCACATGGAAGCTCACAACTGTCTGTTGACTCCAGTTCCAGAGAATCTGATTTTCTCTTAGACACACACATAGGCAACACTCATACATACACAAAATAAATGATATTAAACTTGAAAGAATAAGTTTTTAAAAATGTGTAAGGGCTTTATAATGTGACTGATATTCATTGTATAACTGCCAGTTTTCAGATTTGTTACCTTTCTAGCTCTTACAGTTTTTTAAATTACACTTGTTTTTCATGGATGTGTACCATAGGGTGCATTTGGAGGTGATAGGGCAACTTGTGGCCTTTCATTCACTATGAAGGTGAGGATAATTTTGAACTTCTAACCCTCTGGCGTCTACCTCCCAAGAGCTAGGATTATAGGTATTCAACATACCACCATGACAGGCTCAAACTACATATAGAGTGGAAAGACTTTTCATTCATGTAAAACAGCCGGGCATGTTGGTATATCCCTGTGATCACAGTGCTAGGGGGACAGGCACATCTGCAGAGCTCACTGCACTGATCAGCCGGGCTAGCATAGTGGGTTCCAGGCCAATGAGAGGCCATCCTAGAGTGAGATTGGTACTCCCGAGAAGTGATACCTGAGGTTCCCCTCTGGCCTCTACACACATACCTACACAGGTCTGTCTGTCTCTCTCTCTCTCTCTCTCTCTCTCTCTCTCTCTCTCTCTCTCTCTCTCACACACACACACACACACACACACACACACACACACACACACACGCACACACAGCTATATGTGTCTATATGTAGTTATATCTTCATCAGTCAGTTACTAATAGCTGTCTCCATCTTTTAGGTGTCCTAAGACACTGATGGCAAACTTCAAGGGCCACGCTCTGCCAGGGAGCTTCTTTCTGATATTTGGACTATGGTGGTCAGTGAAGTACCCACTGAAGTACTTTCATCAAAAGGGCTTAAAAAAGAACAGACTGAGCCAGCAGCAGCAGCGGATCGAGATAATTGAAGGTGCAATCAAGACTCTGTTTGCAGTCATCGGTAAGAACAGAATTTTGTCTACTGTATCTCCTCTCCCACCCCGGACCTTCAACCTATTTCCTGGATCCGGTGAAATAGATGCCTTCTAGCAGGGATAACAAACAGGGCAAGATCTTAGGTGACTGCTGTTTTATTTTACTGCCCATTGTGTACAAAGCTTTGTATCAATACCCAATAGACCCTTACATTATATTCACTATGTAAAAACTACCAAATAAACCAGTTGTTTATTTGGTACACAAGTTGTAGGAACAGAACAAATACTATGTGAAAATCACAAAATACAAATAAAAATGGTGGAGGTGGTAATTTTTTAATGCAATGGAAAGAACTAGATAGAATTTAGTTTAAAATGAAAAGTCTTTCCCCAAACAACCTCTTTCTAGATTTGAGTAGCTAACAACTACCTCATTGGCATATTTTCCATCCACAAGTAGCAAGCATTTGTCAAGAGGAGTATCCACAGGGAGGCCAACAAGGCAGGCCACAGAAAGGTTGAAAGGGATTCTAAGCCTGCCTCTTTCTCACCAAATCCCCCACTGCTGTTATGAAGCAGCTCTTCAGGGAATGGCAGTGACAACAGTAACAAGTGGCCCTCCTGGGGCCCCACCTGCTAAGGCCACGGAGGAAGCTTATTCTCAAATTGCCTCTGCCACTTATCCTTGGCTTACCATAATCTGGGCATGAAACCATGACACTAACACCTTCCTGCAAGAGAAACTTACAAAAACCAGCCAGGTCTAGCCAAGACTTCTTGCAGGCATCAACAACTCTTTGTGGACTATTCATGTCTTAATAAAGGAAAGCATCAAAGCTGCCTTAAAAAAAAACAAAAAAACAAAACAAAAAAAAAAAAAAAAAAAAAAAAAAAAAAAAAAAAAAAACAGAGGAAAGAAAGCTCCCAGTACTGGGGAGGCAGAGACAGGTGGATCTCTGAGTTCAAGGACAGCGTGGTCTAGAGTGAGTTCCAGGACATCCAATGCTGTTACACAAGAAGCCCTTTCTTGAAAAAACAAAAGATAAATTTTACTTACCACTCTGGCTGGCTGAAATTCAGCGATCCTACCAGATACTAGCAACCCAGTGTTCTGCATGCTGGGAAATGGTAGGAAGCAGTCTCCCTCACAGGGCTTCCGTTTTGTCATCAGTGACCTTTCCCGGATCATCTCACAAGCTTCCTGATCCCTTATAGGGGAATGAAAATTTGAATGATCTCTAGGGTCCCCCAAAATATTTTAGATACCAAGCACAAAGGCAAGTCTGCCTTTCAAAGGTGATTAAAAAGTGGAAGGGACCAAAGCCATGAGTGGTATAGGCTGTAATCCCTGCACTCGAAAGTCAACAGGATGGCAAATTTAGGGCCAGCCTGTGCCTAACAGTGAGACTCTCAAAAGGCAAAAACTAAACACAGCAAAAAGAGAAAGTGACAAGAACCATGAGCTACCCCAAAAGCACAGCTTCATCAACCTGGCCTCACTTTATCTCTCTTTAGGTACCATGGCCGGAAACTGTGAGGCCTCACATTGTTCAATGTTTTAAACATTGGGCTATGCTAGCAAAGGGTACCCACTCTATGGTAGCCACAACACAACCAGGAGCTACCTCCCTGCTTCAGGCCTGCATCACTGTGGCATCTGCTCAGTGTTCTGAAGCCTCATTCTCTCTTGGACCTTTGCACCGCTCATTGATAATCCAAAGATTGTAGAGGCTTTCTTTTGAGCCACCAATCAGCTCCCAAATCATGACATGGAGACTTATTACTAATTATGAATGCTAAGCCATATCTTATGTTTGTCCCATCAACTCATATTATTTAACTCCACCTGTTTCTCTTCATCTACATTTTGCTTTGGGGCTCTTAACCTTTCTATCAGTCTGTATGTCCTACTCCCTGTCTGCTGGATAGAGGCTGCCTGGCTGGCCCCTGGTGTCTCCTTCCTTTCTTCATCATTCTGTTCTCCCTTCTTAAGCCTACATTCCCCTTCTACTTATTTTCTCTGCCTGCCAGCCCCACCTATCCCTCTCCTGCCCAGCTATTGGACCCAGCAGGTGCCCTAGGCAGGCAAGGTAAAACAGCAACTACGTCTTCACATAAACAAATGCAGCATAAACAAATGCATCTTTCCCTGGTTAAAGTAATATTCCACAACAAAGGATCATTGTCTCAGCCCACACTGTCATCTAAGGAAAAATGCTCTGTTCTACCTATGCTGGGGAGCACAGTCCCCAGAGAACAGTATGTTCTATTTCTATCCATTGTTTCTGTCCATCAAACCGTGAAGGAGCATCAGGGCCAGGTGTTTCCATAGGCTTCTCGGAAAATTTTATATGGCAGTATTTTTCAGTCTGTTGACCCACTGGCCACTGTTGCCCATATCTGAACCTGGCTCCCATCTTCAGGCAACTTTTGCTCTCTCATTTGTCTTGACACCTTCCCATCTTAGTTTTCACTTTCACTTCCTGGCAGGGATCCTGGCAGAGCAGTTTGTTCCAGATGGGCCTCACCTCCACCTCTACCACGAAAATCAATGGACAAAGCTAATGAATTGGCAGCACAGCACCATGTACCTGTTCTTTGGTATCTCAGGAATCATCGACATGCTCACCTACCTTTACTTCAACATTGTGCCCCTGGGGGTAGACAGAGTGGTTTTGGCTATGGCAGTATTCAGTGAAGGTAACTTGGATGGAGAAAGGGAAAGAAAAATGGACAAGTTGAATTTATGAGATCAAAATTTAAAAGAAATGCCCTTCCTCAGAAAATCAACTCTCGAGACATATTTTATGTGCATGTGTGTTCACTTGTTCATACAACTTCTTACCAATCAGCACCACAGCTGACTTGCTACACCCACTCTGTATTGCAGAATCTGCAGACATTCTTTTATATTCTCAACAAACCCACAAAATGAATAGTCTGCATGTGCTTGCTGCCAGTGATATCATGTAAACTGGCTTCCTGCATGCTGAGGAATCTTGATTTGAGACAAGCATAGGGGGAAAAAATTCCAGTAATTGGAAAAAGCCAGAATGGATCTTCTTAAGTAGAAACAAGCAAGTTTCTGATGGCTATCATTGGTTTGCAACAGGTTTTCTCTTCTACTTCCACGTTCACAACCGTCCTCCGCTGGACCAGCACATCCACTCACTTCTACTGTTTGGTTTGTTTGGAGCGAGTGCCAGTATCTTCCTGGAGGTGATCTATCGGGATAATATTGTGCTGGAGCTTTTCCGAACCAGTCTCCTTATTCTTCAGGGGACCTGGTTCTGGCAGGTATCATCCACACTCAAGCTCCTCATATAGTCTGGGTTGAGAATCCCCCTTGGAAAAGCCCAAGAAAAATCCCCTAGTTACTTGCTGCCTGGAAATACAGCAGCTATAGTAAGGGTATGGCAAGCTGGGCGTTGATGGCACATAGCTTTAATTCCAGCACTCGAGAGGCAGAAGCAGGCGAATCTCTGTGAGTTCAAGGCCAGCCTATCTACAGAAGCAAGTTCTAGGATAGGCTCCAAAGCAATACAGAGAAACCCTGTCTTGAAAAACAAAAACAAATTATAGTAGGGGTATGGGGGTGAGTATGGTGGCTAGTCTAGATGACCTTTTTATCCTCACACCACACTTGGACCTATGCAATTTTTCTTCAGTAATAACTTGCTGGTACACTGGCTGGTAATTTACTAAAGTACTCATATACAATGCAAGCCCTCAAGTTTAGCTATTTTTAAATCATCCTGCACAACAAACTTAACTTTCCTGTGTAAACAGGGCTTTTGATGTAATTCATGCAGGAACTGTGAGATAGTGTAGAACATACAGTACCACTGGGAAGGCCATGGAGCCAACTGGGTTGCTCCTCAGACAACCAACCAGAAACGTTCTCCTCTACTTCTCCAGATTGGATTTGTCCTGTTCCCCCCATTTGGAACACCAGAATGGGACCAGAAAGACATGGACAATATCATGTTTATCACCATGTGCTTCTGCTGGCACTATTTGGTTGCCCTTTTCATCACAGCCATCAATTACTCTCTTGTTTACTGGTATGTATGTTTATGGCCAACTTCATGCTAAACTCTGCACAAGGCATTCTTCATTTGTAGGGGCAGTTACCACAATTCTGACTTGCCAGTGAGTATAAGGAAGCCCTGCTCCATTTAACCTGGTGCATAATAGGGAAACCCTCAAACGAGAAATCTGTCTGGATTGAAGTCCCTAATGCCACTGGTTTGGTGGACCCATCACCTACTTCCAGACTTGTTTTGTTTACTTCCTAAATATAGAGACAACAAAGTATATCCAAAACCATAAGTGCTTTCTAACTACCTTGTAACATAATATAGACTATAAGACCACTGACTCCCTGTGTCCCAGGCACCACACGTTCATGCTTTTAACTTTCCTTACTATGTATTGTTTTGTTTTTAACAAATGGGGAACAAGGCTTCCAAAGGCTGAGTAAACCAACTACTAAATGGAAAACAAAACTGAAATTTGGTATGTGTTATTATGGAGGCTTATTGCTATGGAAACTGCCCCTACCTCCCTCCCCTCCAACCCCATGTCACTTCCCTAGACTCAAAGGAGATGTACTTCATCCCAGAGATCACCCTCCCCCTTAAAAAAAAAGAGGAGTTTGCATCAGCTTTCCTTTCTGATCAGTAAAATAGCTAGATGGCAAGAGGCCTAAATCTAGTCTCAAGAGTAGTATTTTGGTTACCACTGAGTCTTTTGTCTACTGTGATAGAATCTCGAGAAGTCAGATGTGTAGACATGCTCTCACCATGTTTAATGGACACCCAAGGCTCTGCTATTTATTGTTTTACATCATGGAGTCAGTGAGCAGAAGGCTTTAGTGGCTAATTTAATGGTTCTTATGTCTGCTACAGCTTCCTGACCCGGGTGAAGAGGCACACAGAAGGAGAAGTCATTGGGATTCAGAAACTGAAGTCTGACCACACATACCAGTCAGCCCTTTTGAGTGGCTCAGATGAGGAGTAACATCAGGCCTCGGGGAAGTTCCGATCTCATGTCCTTTGTGACCATTAACTGGAATGAATGTAGCCTGCCTGTCCCCTCTACTTTTAAGGCTTGCGTTAGTGTGCTCTCAGGGCTCCATATTTCCATCCCTTATCTAATACAAAGCTAGAGGCTCAAACACAGGAAATTAGAGCTCAGGTGTTTTCATGTATCATGCCATTTAGATATCTAAGCATAATTTAGCTTACAAAGTCTGTATTAGAGTAATACCATTCATACAGAAAAATGAACACCTTTGAGTAGCAAGCCTATTATTGTAGAGAAACTGCTGTAAGAATCAAACACCTACAACAGGAAGTGACGTGTGGATGAAGTAAACTGTGACAGGATTCCATTCCACATGCTGCTGCTTCTGATAACTTGCCCCTCTTCTCTCAACCTGGCAGGTATTTCCTTCTCAGAAATGTATCGGGACTTAGCAGATGACTGTGCAGTGCCTTCAGAGCCAAAATTCTAACGTGTCTTTCAATAACAAAACTCACAAGCTTTGGTATTTCAAGTGTTAACTAACTTTTTAAACATTCTCCAATGAGTCATACTAGAGTACTGCATTTGGGCCTTGATTAGAGATAAAATTAGGTGAAAGATAGTTTTCTTAAATTGAGCTGAGAGCTGAGGCTCCAGACTGACTCCTGAACATTACCCTATTGAGGAACAATATATACCAAGTCTGTACCTCCTAGACACAGAGGGAGAAAAAGTCAGGTTAGGAAAGGATAAAACCAAAGGGTAAGGATTTTGAATTCTTAATATAGACTTGATACTGTTCTACTGATTCTGAACATTTTTTTGTGGGGTTTATTTTTTATAACTTTCCTCAACAAGTATTTACCAAACATCCACTTTGCCCTAGCACTGAAATGTTTGCAAGGATTAATGAGATATCCATCAAGGAATTGACAGTATAATATAAAACTCCTGAGATTATCATTAGGCAGTGTGATGGGCACTGTTGAGTACAGAGGTAGGCTAGTAGTGGTGGCGTATGCCTTTAATCCCAACAGTTAGAAAGCAAAGACAAGCAAAGACAATCGGCTCTACAAATTGAGTACTAGGACAGCCAGGGACTACACAAAGAAACCCTGTCTCAAACAAGCAAACAAAAACAGAAGTGCAGGGGCTGGAGAGAGATGGCTCAGCAGATAAGAACACTTATTGCTTTTCCAGAGGAGCCAAGGTTGATTCCAAATATCCACGTGGCAGCTCATAAGTGTCTAGACCTCCAGTTCCAAGGGATCTGCTGTTCTCTGCTGACCTTCAGGGTGTACAAGCACACATGGGGTGCACAAACATACACTGAGGGTGAAATGCCCACAAGCATAAAATTAAAATAAGTAAATGAATGAATAAATAAAGGACTATGCACAAACAACAGAGTAAGGAACAGAGAAGACACTGGGAGTTGGCCCTTTAGAAAACACACACCATACATAGAAACAGACTATAAAAAGTCCATACACATCAGTTCCTGTGTAAAAGGGGATTCTGTGCTAACTGAAGTTGAAGGATCTTCAAGACTATCTCTGTGCAGCACTCTGTGAGGCTGGAATGTACTTCATCTCAGTGGATCCTCACAACCCTGGGTAATTTAAGCATGTGACATCTTCCTGAGGTTGGTCAGCATAAGGTCAAATAGCTACAAACTGGCAAAACTCATCAACACTGTGACTTGAAAGCCTGGTGTCTCTCACATTCCATACCCTGTTCCTTCACAAACACCCACCAGAGATGCTTTACAAAGTTCTTCAGGTTAGCTAGCTATCTGGCCTTGCACAAAGTCACAGGTGGGGACTAAGAATAATTTGAAAACACTAAGTATTAGAGACTTCTTAGGCTCCCTTTTCAAGGTTTGTCAGCTGAGCAGGAACCCAATCCATTCAGCAAATATTTAAGAAGACTTATTCATCTGCAACAATACAAAATTTGTTCTTTCCTCAGGTCCGAATTAGAAAAGGAACTTATTTCCTGTTTCATTTTCACAGAAAGTGATGCACTTGAGACTTTTTATATTAACAGAACAAAGAAACAGTATTCTTAAGGAATTGACATATAACTCTTAAACATAAAATATTAAAATTTATTTCTGTATCTCTAACCAGTGCTTTGGGATATACCTTCATTAAAAGACAAGCCCTGGCAAAAGATTCTTAAACACTGTTGAAGTACAAGCCATGGGGCTGGAGGTCACCTCCTGCTTTTCTAGACAACCTGAGCTCAGTTCCCAGCACCCACACCTGGATGACTTCTGACTTCCTCAAGTCCCCACACATACAAGACATATATTCACACAAATATACATAGATAAAAATAAGCATTAAAGTACAAGTCAATTAGAATGCCTTTCACTAAATCCTGTCATGGATACATGGTCTGAGTAATCTTTATCAATCTGTCCACCAGAAGCTCATAGGATCAATGATGCCACTGTATTGCAAGAACTGTTCCCTGCAAAACATCCACCACAGCTGACCCACTGCCAGCCTGGAACCTCCTGAGATCTACATATGAAGAAGCACACATGTTCAAACACTGGTGCTGTTGCTGTAAGCAACTCCAGTAGGACGTCTCTAACCTATATTATTCCAACAACAAGCTAGGAAGTAGCAAAAGCTAGACTTTCTGGGGAGTCAACCCCACAAACTGGCATCATGAAATAAGCCTGTATTTTAAATCTGTGCTCTCTAGGACACACATATCCAATGTATCTGTGTGTACTAATAAGATGGGCAATCAGGCAACCTCAGTACATAAAAGTTTGGAATAGATCTTAAGCTGAATGCAAAAGTTACTTTTATGGAATTTGCTAAGTAAAATCAAAAGAGGGTTTAGCCAACAGTAAACATCTGAGAGAGAATATCTCCTACCCTCTTTTACTGTTGTCTAGAAACTATCACATCATTTTCTGTGTGAAATAGGATATCCACAAATACAAACCACACAGGTAATTTTTAATCCCCTTACTACATCCCTCCCACAACTTTTCATTATTTCAGTCAATTCCCATGCCAGGTCCTCTAGGCACCCATCAAGAGGATGATGTCTTTTCATCCTGTCACCTGTGGTTTGAGAGCCAGGCTTCCCACCCAACTCTAATTACCCTCCAGTTTCACCAGGACACCTCCCAGTGAATCTTCCTTAAGAGTACAGCGCACAGGGGACTTAACTTGGGACAACCTAACTTTTCTTTGCTAATGTAGCACCCAGGTGGGGCTCTAGCCAGCTAAAGTGAGCCAAGAATGAGTGTGAAGTTCCAATCCTCTAGCTTCTAACTCTAGAGATTACATTATAGGCTCATCTGACTCTACCACCCTACGTTAGGAGTGCTGGGGATCCAACCTGGGCCTCTAGTATGCTAGCTGGTGCTCTCTCCACAGTAAAGTTACATCTCCAACACCAGGCCCAGGTGCTTATCTTAGTTTTCTCCATTTCCACTCAGATTTATATCTTCTCACTATTAAAGAGGAATGGCAATTCTAATTGACAGAACTGCTATAAGAAGCAAATGTAACTATAAAGCCACTTTGTAGCCAAAACCACTTTTTCCTGTTTCTCAGCAACTTGCTAAATAACCCAGTTGCAGGCCATTTCTATTCTATGTGGCCCCTAGTTCTATTTCCCCATTAAAGAAATTAATGAAAGGCCCAGAGATTAAAGATACATTTTTAATCATTTGGATACTTTCACAAAGAGACAGGGAAGCCCTATCCCTACAGAAAGGCTTTTCCACCCACCCCTGCCTGCACCGCAGCAGGACATGTAAGGTGTGACCAGTGCACTAAGGACGTAGGACTTTAAACAGCATCCTTCTGAGCTGTCTGTGGCTGGTGGTGGCTGAGAAGTGTGAAATGGCCAGGAATAAAAACTGCAAATCCAGACTTACTTCTCCTGAAGCTGGCATTGCCAAGTAGTGCCTAGTGCTGTCCCCACTCTACCATTTCTCCAATGTTACAATCAGGTGGCCAGCTTCAAGGGTCTGGTTTGCAACTGCTGTTCTACAGCAGATAGAACGTGCAATCTCTGGGCTGTAAGCAAGTGTGCAGTGAGAGCAGCAGCTCGGCTGGCATCCCTAAGGACAATGCCCACAAGTGAAGACACAGGGACAACCAAGATCCCAACACCCATCTTCAGTAAGTGGTACCAAACTAGTCTCACTTGAGGGGATCCATGCCACCTCATGGCCTACATTTCCCTACATTACCTCTCATTATCAAGTAAGCCACCAACCTGTTAAGAGTCTTGTTAGGCTCTCATTCTGGCCAAAGGAGTAAGGGGTCAGTTTAGGGGCACTAAAGCCCAGATTTCTATCTGATAAAAGATGCACAGTAAGTTCTTTAAAAAAATAAGTTACACAAAATTTTCTGGACACAAAACTCATGTGGACAAATCACCAAGAGGATCAAAAACTAAAAAGTAAAATCCTCACACAGAATGAGGCTTATATTCACTGCTGGCCTGCTCACCAACTGGCAGGCCTGCTCCCTGGGCATCCAACACTCAGGAGGTAACTGTGGCTTGTGTGACTGTGACCTCCCATGATTCTGATGTTTCTCCCCTTGAACTGGACAGAGCAGCCCTGGAATCCTAAAACTGAGCCTTGTCAGGGCTTCATTCTGGAGTGTGGCTGCAGAACCTAGGGCACAGTTGCCAACACCCTCCACCACCCTGCCTCAAGCAGGGGAGCTCAGAGAAAGGAAGCAACCTTCCTGCTCCCTTTCTGTCAGCTGAGATGCACGAGGCCTGGTCTCTTAAAGCTGCCTCTCTTTCTCAGTCACTGTTGTTCAGGTGCTTGTTTAGGAGATGGCGCGGTGGTCACAACAACAGTGGAGACTGCTTTGGAGGAGCCAGAAGCTGTGCCCTGCTGGAGATGGGATGCAGGAACAGTCTGGATACGCACCTACTTACAAAGAGAAGAGGTCTGATCAGTGAACTTCAAGTAGGCACTTCAATTAAGAAAATCAAAAGAAAACAGACATGCCTG